ATGAGTTTAGCTGTGTTTGAGTGTAATATGGCACTGTAAGCTAGGGTCGAGGTCAATTTAAGCCATATCTGAGTCTCCTGAACTGATATCATGTGAGAGGTATCTCGCTGTTTGTTTTTTTTATATATATAAGAGGGGGGAAACACGCGACTCACCTGATAATAAGTGACTTCCGCCCAGAAACAACTGCAACACCAGGGGAGATTAAGATGCGTAAATTCAAATTTTGTGAAATTCTCCTCAAATTTCGCGCAGTACAGATTAAAGAAGGTATTCTGATGCAATCTCGAGCTTTAATTTAAACTCCTACACAATAGCAAAATTTAAAACTAGATCCTACTAGATGGATCGTACTAGGTGGTAGACCTTCTTAACTGCCTAGGAGTCTGAGTATGTACCACCCTTTTACCTATTCCTGACATAAAATATGAGTGCTTGTACTGCTGTGGTCTGGACTAAGGAGTATAGAGAGTCAGTATGATTACAAGCTATGAGGCATTCTATCTTACGCTTCAGAGGTAATAACTCATCATTAATTAATTTAAAAATCTTAAAAATCTCCTTCTTCTGATCTAAATGCTTTACCTATAATAGTCCATTTGCTAAGCCTTCAATCAGGCGTTTCTTATGTCGTTCTTTTAAAGCAATTTATCTCGGAATATATTAGAATACTCGGTGATAGGTCTTCTTTTCTGCTTTGGAGACTGTTTGGATATTTACTACCATCTTACCTATTTCTACCACCAAACAGCAGTGCTTAGAAGGCTATAAGTCAGTAAAAACTGTACAAATACGGTTATTATAATATCGAGGAATACATGACATAAAATAACCCCTGGGAATAAGGTGATCGTCACCATGCTGGTTCTATGTAAATTTATTTAAAAATTGTATAAACAAAATTATTGTTTCTTGCTGGTTCTTCCCAGGACAGAGGTATTTTCCGAACCAATGGTAGATAAAAAATGAATTTCGATAAGTACTATGTAATAATCAATATTGAATAAAAAATCATTGTAATTACAGCCCGTGAGGCATTCTCGGGATTTGTCTGCGTGATAGACTTAAAAATAAGGACGTGGACATGGACATTAGAACCAGAGTCAACGACATAGCCCAACGGCTAAGCAAGCTGAGGTAACAATGGCTATATAGCTCGACGAACCGACAACCGTTGTAAAATGAAAGTTATCGAGTAGCAGCCTCGTACCACCGGTAGAAAAAGTGTAGGGTGGCTTCCCACTAGATGGAGTGACGACCTGGTAAGAAATATAGGAAGTCTATGAAAGTAGGTGGCTCAGAACCGTGTTTTATGCCATTCCTTGGGGGAGGCCTATGTACAGCAGTAGGCTTGTGAAGGACTGTAATGATTATGATGATCGAACTATGTTCGTTCACAGCAAAGCAGAAGTAATTATGACAAACTGGAAATTCTGACTGTTTTCTTAACTCTTAGTTAGCTTACCGATTACATAAAGTAACCCAGATTATAATTACTTAGGTCCACACTAGAGATGAGCTGCAACAAATATTCAATAGATCCAAATAAGTTAATCCAAGATTTTAGAATTAACTAATTTACTATGATCAACGATATCAGATATTTATATTATACTAGAATAGCATACGTGCACAATTCTACAACATTCATCTTGTTTTCCCCGGTATGCAATGTCTAGCTTTATCTAAAATTAAATAAGCCATAATTGTTCATCAGTAGTTATTATACTACTAAAGAGTACATGATTGAAATATAACCCCTGGGAATGAGGTGATCGCCACCATGCTGTTTCTAAATGTTTTCATATTTAATTGCAATACATTATTATATTGTAAGAATAGTTTTTTTATATATTATTATATTGTAAGAACCCAAATTAATGCAGTGAGCCGTAAAATGTTTGCAGCTTATGCTTCACTCCGGAGGCTTAATTACTTTTTACCCATTGCCACCAAAATTACGCTTGCACAATCTTTACTACTCCCTATCCTCGACTATGTTGATATTTGTTACCTTGATGTCACCGGGGAGCAACTTAACAAGCTTGGGCGCCTCCAAAATCTCTGTATTCGGTTCATATTTGGACTACGCAAAGATGACCATGTCTCAGAATACCGCACTAAGCTCAAGTGGCTCCCAATCCGTCTTCGTCGGAATACTCATATACTTTCTGCTCTCTACTGCGTCTTATTTAATATAGCTAGTCCTTCCTATCTTAAAGAACGTTTTAGATTTCTCAGCTGCTGTCATAATTTTTCCTTACGATCCAAAGAAAATCTTTCCCTCCAATGTCCTGTGCACTCCTCGACTTATTATGACAAATCATTCTCTGTTCTTGGAGTAAGACTTTGGAACTCCTTACCCCAGTCAATTAGAAGTGCTCAATCCTTAAATGTGTTCCAGAAACAAATTAAAGAATACTATTTGTCTCTCTAACCCCTCTCACTTCCTCCGCTTAATTATGGTCACTGATCTGCCTGAAGAATGTTGTCTTTTTAATGCATAAGTTTGTATCTTTATTTTATTTTTATTTGTCTTTATTTTAGTGCACCCTACCCATTGTTCTTTTTCTTATTTTGTATTTATTTCTTCTTCTGGGTTGTCTGGAAGAGATTGCTATGTAGCAATAAGACCGCCCTTTGTATTTCCCTCAATAGTTGTTATTTTTTATTTTCGATGTTGTTATCTTTTCTTGGTGTACAATAAAGAGTATTGTATTGTATTGTAACAGTTTTCATTGTAAAGCCTTGCACGATTGGTGGATACGTGGCTTGACACGAGTTTGGAAAGGGAGTTGGCGTAGCAAGCCCGTGTGTGTTTCAACACAGTACTGCCCCCTCCTAAATACGGAAATGGAAACAATTCTGTTTTATGCCATCTTTTGTTTCATTTCCATCTGACGCGTTCTACGACACCCATGGGATGATATGGAGTAGTGAATTCTAATACTCCGCTACTAGATGGCGATACTATTTTTGACTTATTTCGACTTGTTACTCAATGGTTTATTACTCAATTCGACCAAAATTACTTTATTAAAGTTTTTAATTTATCTATATCCGCTAAATAAAATAAAATTATGTGTCATACCTAGTTTGAAGAGCATCTCCCGCCCTCCCTCAATTCCGTGCACTATCCCCGTCACCACTTATCCCAGTACCACCACTCCCACCACCACTACACTAGGAAATACACACCATCGACGATAATACGACACGTGTTTCGCCTCTACACGAGGCATCCTCAGGTGAAGTAGTCTCTGCGGTGACACTTTAATATAATCGATTTCCGCAAAACAACGCCTGTTTCTTTTAATTATCAAAATTACTTTGTTAGAAATTTAAGGAGACTATATGGCTTCACTTTTCTCCAACTCTCATCCTAAAATATTTGTATTCTGTATCAATATCTTGTATTTATAGGCACTTTTTAGGATTTAAAATTCCCAGACATTATAGGCAGGGTCAAAGTTGCAGTGCAGGCTAATCAAAGATCGCTTCAACTTTGCGATAATAGCCACGCTTGCAGATCGCTGCAACTGTGGCTATTATGGTAAGTACTATATACTATTCACTGAACTGTTTTCTGATGATATGAAATGACAGGCTAACCTTGTAGCGGTGGTGTTAGGCTAACCGCGTAGTCAGTGTAGTGGTGGTGTTAGAATATCGACTACTCCATTTATATCGTGGGTGGCGCAAGAGGTAACAGAGGAGATCAAAACTAGAGGCTAGAGGAAAACTAATCCAGGAGCTGTGCAGCAGCAAGCTGAATTTAAAAAAAAACTGCGGTTGCCGACAAGCCTGGCAAGCATCGCAACTATGGCCTATATCCCCCTATGAATCAATCTATAATATAATTTTGAACTTTTAACAGGCCGTAATGGCAATAAAGGAGATATAGAGATGACTCAATACAATAATTAAGTAAATGAAATCGTATATATCTAAAAGTTTGATTTAAATAAAACGCGAAAGATAAAGTTTTACAAGTTTCTTATATTTAAAATAAAATAAATCTTTCATTCTTACCCAAAAATTCAGATTTTGTAACAATCCAATAATATCATACATTTTTAGAGACTAGAAAGTAATGTTAAACTGTGATTTGAGGAGTCTGAAGATAAACAAATACAGGTCTGTATTATATACTGTATTATATATAACACTTAGGTAACATATGTCACAATATTTATGTTAACAATATATTAATAACACAGTTATAGCTTTTAGCACCAATACGATCCAACATATCATTATATATTTAATTTCATATAACATGTTTCAACGGAATATAAATTTAAAAAAAGTTAAAAGTTAAAGTTATAGCCTATGTACGTCCCACTGTTTTGCCCAGGCCTCCTCTCATTTCTGATAGGGCTATAAATATATAAATTTTATTTAGAAATAATCCGGTGCCATAAACTTTACTATGAATTAGTAGTTAAATAACTTTTCATAATATATAGATTGGATAGAAAGTTAAACATTGCAATATACTGCTATATCTGTACACTCATACTAATACTTTTACAAATTCATATTCGTAGCGTGTTTCTCTCTTATATCATACAAAACCACATTTTATTTACAATATCTATAGTGTTTACACACTGCAAACGAATACTGTTATAAATTAATATCTATATACAGAATATCATTACAAATGCTATAACTTATAAATTTCAATCGACTGAACTCGAATTTTAAAGCAAATTGTCATGGTCCTAATTGTATGATGAAAAACGAAAATAATATCAAAAACGTGCTTTCAAAATCAAAAACATCTCTAATCACTGATAAAATATCCAACATTTTATACACGGAATACAAAAACATTTAAAAGAAGAAATAATACTATAGTCTTTTCTCTTAAATTCACACAAATTGACGCGATATACTAATTGAATAGTTGCAGCCCCAAGCGTATCTCCTTATGACCCTTTATAAGTTCTAAATTGAACACTACATTTTGAACACATTTTAATGTTTCTCAGTGTTCAAATGTCGCATTCAAATTCGGACACTCGCTTATTTCGTCCGTCCGGGTTGATTTGAAAATGGTTTTCTCTCGTACCAACTCGAGGGAAACCGTTAAAGCTGTTTCTGCTGACGAGTGGGTTCTCACGTTCCCTCTCTCTGTGAAAACTGGATGTGGAGAGTTTTCCATCTTTGCGTTCAGTGAAATTCGGATCGTTAAAATTTTGATCGGTGAAATTTCTGTCAGTGAAATTTTTGTCGGGGAATTTCCTGTCATTGAATTCCCCATCGGAGAAATTTCGATCGTTGAAAGTGACGTCTCGGATTCCGAAACCACCCATTCTTGGCGTACCGATACCGAATTTGTTTCTGAGTTCTTCATCACGAAGATTAAAAGCTCGGTTGTCGAACTTTGAAGGACCATTCGCCAATCTGAAATATTTAAGTTTGACAGATTTATTATAAACTTTGCAATCTTCATTTCATTTCACTTATTCAACTATTGTTCTTTATGGCTGATTTTAATGGACGGCTGACAACCATGGTTTTCCGTGCACCAGACCGCATCGAGGCTTTTCCAACGTGTCGTGTGGGTCTTTCTAACTTCGGATTGTAACTGAGAATTTCTTGACAAAAACCCAATAACTAACTGACCCGGGATTTGAACCCGAGACCTGATGATGACCTGATGAACAGCGCCACTTGGCCAATGGAAGTGAAATGGCAGTCAAAAGTCTAGTCTAAAATCTATTTCTCCCTTTTACCTTTACTTATCTTTAATCAATATCAAGATTGCTATCATCCGAAAATTATACATTGAAACTGCCTATATTCTACAATGATACCGAAACAAGAATGCATGATTACTATTTTTACGTAAAGTAATACTTACTCTCTAAAGCATCTCCTTTCCCTGTCATATTCCGCTGAAAGGCCATCTTCGTCGTTAATAATCGCCGATGGGTCGCTGTACACAGATGATTCTTGATAGAAAGAATCAAGATCCACATAATTCCCTTCGGATGGTTCATTATCGAGTAGTTCGGCTAATTGCGCTTTAAGGGAAGCAAAGGTGGGTCTTTGAGAGGGGTCGGCATGCCAGCAGGAATGCATGGCGCGATATAGTTGCGGCTTGCAGTGAGGTGGCCTCTCTAGACGGTATCCTTCAGTAACGGCAGCTAGCACTTCTCGTCCCGACATGGCTGCATATGGCGTTGACCCTGGAATATAATAATTTGTGATTAGGGATACGTTCATGAAAATTTCAACGTGATAGTTTGGTGTTATTTAGTGGGGAATTATGTTAAATTTGGCAAATGAATATGTGTTAAAATATTTAAGGTAAAGCCACGCTGCAGCGTAATATTGTATAAAAATTGTTTAATAAGGCTTTAAACGTGTCAAAAACTAATTTGCTAAGATTAGACTAGTTTAAAGGGTAGGTACTTTTGCTCTTCAACTAGGAAAGACACATCATTTTATTTTATTACGCGGGTCCTTGCCGTGGTAGCTCAGATGGTTAGCGCTCGCTGGAAGTTTCACAGTACGTGAGCAACCCGGGTTCGTTCCCTGCCGGCACCAATGAAATTGTTAATTGCAATTTAAGTGTTGATTTACCACGTGCTCGGCGGTGAAGAAAAACATCGTGCGGATAACGGCATGTCTGATAAATAAGAAAAAAAATATTTCGAAGGCATTTTGAAGTGAACCAAGTGAAGTGAAAAAAACCCAAAATAATTAATTAAAAAAATATCACAAAAAAAAGGATAACAAGTAGATAGTCGTTTATTATTGTCATCATCATCATCATTACAGCCTTTCACAAGTCCACTGCTGAACATAGGCCTCCCCCAAGGAATGCCACTAAGCACAGTCCTGAGCCACCTGCATCCATCGACTTCCTGCATGTCTTACCAGGTCGTCACTCCATCTCGTGGGGGTTCGCCCTACACATCGCCTACCAGTACGAGGCTGCCACTCAAGAACCTTTCTTCCCCATCAGTTGTCGGTTCTTCGAGCTATATGGCCGGCCCACTGCCACTTCAGCTTACTAATCCGTTGGGCTATGTCGGTTACTCTGGTTCTACTGCAGATATCCTCATTTCTAAATTTATCACGCAGAGAAACCCCGAGCATTGCCCTCTCCATAGCTCGCTGAGTGACCTTGAGCTTCCTCATACGACCAGCAGTGAAGGACCACGTTTTAGATCCGTAAGTCATCACTGGCAACACGCACTGGTTGTACACTTTCGTTTTAAGGTTTTGAGGTATGTCTAACGAGAAGATGTGTCGTAGTTTCCCGAACGCTGCCCAGCCGAGTTGAATCCGTCGATTGACCTCTCGGTCGAAGTTGGACTTACCTAGTCGGACTATTAGTCCCAGGTAAACATACACGTCAACAACTTCGAGCTTAATGCTCCCAACAACTACTGGCATAGGTGTCACATGGACGTTAAACATGATTTTTGTTTTGTCCATGTTCATCTTAAGACCTATCCGTTGGGAGACACTATTGAGGTCATTGAGCATAGTGTTTAGGTTCTCCAGCGATTCTGCTATAAGGACTATATCGTCGGCAAATCGAAGGTGAGTGATGTACTCGCCATTGATGTTGATGCCACATCCTTTCCAGTCCAGCAGCTTGAAAACGTCTTCCAATGCAGCGGTGAAGAGTTTCGAGGATATAACGTCACCCTGTCTTATACCTCTCTGCAGTTGGATAGATTTCGTACTCTGATTCTGTACTCGGATAGCCATCGTAGCTCTATTGTACAAACACTTCAGCACTTCGATATACCGACAGTCAACTTGGTACTGCTGAAGGGACTCCAGCACCGCCCAAATTTCGACGGAATCAAAGGCTTTCTCATAGTTTACATACGCCAGACTTAGTGGCAAATTGTAGTCTTCGGACTTCTGTACAATTTGCCGAAGGGTATGTATGTGGTCTATGGTACTAAAGCCTTTTCGGAATCCGGCTTGTTCGGTAGGCTGGAAGTCGTTAAGTCTGCGTGCGAGACGATTCGTAATGACTCTCTAAAACAGCACGTAGACGCGGCTCAGAAGGGAAGTCGATCTGTAGTTCTTCAAGAGAGCATTGTCGCCTTTCTTGAAGAACAAGTCCACCGCACTTCTGCTCCACACCTCCGGAGTAGTGCCACCATGGAAGACGGAATTAAAGAGCTTCTGAAGGACTTCAAGTACCGGTCTTCCACCCGCTTTCAAAAGCTCCGCAGTAATTCCATCCTCGCCCCGAGACTTTCCGTTTATAAGGTGCTGGAGAGCCATTCTAATCTCGCTCAGACTGACTTCCTGGATATCTTCGGAATAGTGTCGGTTTATTATAGTAGTTACGTGTAATAGGAGAGGATTGACTCCAATTCGCTCCATTCATAAATCACTTGCTATCTCGCTCACGCGCCAGCCGGCATTCGTTTCGTAACCCTTTGAAGTAAGGCCGGCCACATACATACGGAATTCCGTTTTGGAACTCCGTTCCGAAATTCTGAAAGGGTTGGCCACACACATACGGAATCCCGTTTAGCCCGCAAAATTTCAAACGGAAAACTGCCGTACGTGTGTGATGGGTCATAGATTTTATATGGACTTGCTGCGTTCGGAATTCCGAATCCCGAAACGGAATTCCGTATGTATGTGGCGGGCCTTATAGTTGGCCTTAGAGATGGAATGGGAGCGTCTTATGAATGGAGTGATAAGTTATTGATTTGTGTAGTATCTTCTAGTACTGCGCCAATAAAATTACGCCAGTTTTTGGATAAAAACAAACCTGGATAACATTGTGATAGATAAATAATAAAAAATTCTGACAGTTCCATCAACAATACTAGCATCTGTTCCAACTGTCCTTAATCTTTTTTGATACTTACAAAATAGTGGTGTATATTTAATAAAACTGATTCTATTCTTTTCTACGCATGGGATCAAAGTGAGGCGCCTCACCTAATGTGACGATCTCCCAGAGCAGGATGCCGAAGGCCCAGACGTCGGTCTGGTGGTTGCAGACGTTGTAGAGCAGCGCCTCGGGCGCCATCCAGCGCACCGGCAGCGCGCCGCGCGCCGCCCGCGCGCCGCCGCCCGCGCAGCGCGACATGCCGAAGTCCGCGATCTTGCACAGCTTGTTGTGGTCCACCAGCACGTTGCGCGCCGCGAGGTCGCGGTGCACGATCTGCAACCCGCCGTTTCTCATCTTATTATATCTCATTTAAAGATTCGCTGAGTTTCTTGCCGATGTTTCTCAGGACAGAGTTTTTTTCCGAATCAGTGGTAAAGCTTAAATGACTTTCAATAAGTATTTTTGTAATTTACAGGGTTATTTTGCAATAACCGGCCAAATTTGCAGAGAAGGTTCAGAATAATTAATATAATAATAATAATTGGTGAGGAAAAATTTATTTAAAAAAAAATTCAAATATTCTGTCCTTTTTATCGTTTGGATTCAAAATGCGTGGTAATGCTTTTTTTTATTTTAACTGATTTTACTGCGCGCACACACACATTAATTTGTAGGGGCCAATCGGTAGGTAAAAACGTTGTTGCCCATAATTCACATTCAATTTAGGATAATTTCAAATTAAAGAAGCAGCCTTATTTACATGTATTTTCAATAACTGCAATAACGGTATATCATTTGTTATGAAAAATAATATGGAATAAAATGATACTTTTCTATTCTATTCATCCATCCATTGGTTACAGCCTAATGTCCACTGCTGAACATTCATGGGTCAGTGTATACGCTTTTACTACATAGTTCCAGAAAACATGCAGGACCTGTCGGTCAAAAAGTTTAAAATTTATATTAAACAAAAAATGTTTCATAAATGTTTACTATATTTCTAAAGAGTACATGATTGATAACAACCCTTGGGAATGAGATGATCGCTAACATGCTATTTCTAAATGTTTCCACACTTAATTGTATATAATCTAGTATTACACGCGGGTGAAGTCGCGGGGAACAGCTAGCGAATTCACCCGCGTGGAATGTTTTTCGTACGCGGAACCCTAAAATAAAAGTAACCTGAGTTACTCCTTATAACGGACAGACAGACAGACAGACAAAAACTTTAAAAATTGTATTTTTGTTATTAGTATCATATATACTTTCATATACATTTAGTAAAAAGCTGTAATTTTGACATTACAAACAGACACTTCTATTTTATTTATTTGTATAGATGTGAAAGTTTGTGATGATGTATGGATAATAATATAGGTCATATATTAGAATAACACATAAGCTATAAGTTATAAAAATATTATGGTAATTGGCCAAAATATAACGATAAATGTTAAGTATGTCTGAAAAAAATCATTCATCTACGTGCTATTTTGGCGTGAACACGCATCACGCAAAAACCTGTGAACCGATTTGGATCGGACTTTCACTGGCAGATAGCTGATGTCACAAGAAGTAACTTAGGCTTTTTTATTTTAGAAAAAACTCAAAAAATTAAAACTCCAAATAACACGCGTGCGAAGTCGCGGAGAACAGCTAATTGTAAATATTTTTTAAACATAGTGCCGCTGGATTTCCTGCTGGTTCTTCCTAGAACAGAGGTTTTTTCCGAACCTGTGGTAAAGCTTAAATGACTTTGAAAAAGTATACTTGTAATGTAAATGATTCTATTATATTCTATACATTCATGCATCTGTTACAGTCTAAAGTTCACTCTGAACATAGACTCCCCCATAGATTGCTTCATAGGGGAGATAATAATTGACATATACTCGCTGATCTAGCAGTCTCAAACGCAACTGGTCATGGTCGGACCAAAATTGGCGTTTTCTGTCAAGAAATTCTCAGTAGGAGTCCGAAGTCAGAAAATTGACGTAAAGTCGTTAGTCCTGCTTCTGATCTCTCTCCGGTCGTGTCGGATTGCCGTACCATCGGACTATGAAAATGAAAGTATATAAGAAAAAGAATGCATCTGTTCTTGCGTATACACTCACTATTATCCTGTCCTGCGTAGATTGCTAGTCTCTAATGAGATTGGCCGCCGTGACCGAAATTCGGTCTGGAATAATGTCCTATTATTATTATTATTATTAATTGCCACAGTTGCCACGAATGGATCGGCTCGACCGGGGAGCTCTCACAGAATAACTTAATGTTGCTGTATTTCGTATGGTGAGTGTAGCGAACCGAAGACCCTTCTTACTGGAAATTATCTTAGTCCTCAAGGGTGACAACGCATTTTAATTTTTAATCGAGGATCTAGATGTAGATTTCTATAATTCACATTATCTACTTAACATTCGGAGATTCGGAGACAGACAGACAACATTTTAAAAATTGTTTTTTTTTGTTATAAGTATCGTGCTATCATATGCATTTATTAAAAAGCTGTTATTTTGACATTACAAACAGATACTTCAATTTTATTTATTTGTATAGATATTAAAGAGAACGTCAAAAACCAGATATTTAAAAGATAACTTCTCGTATGTAACAATTGCCTGAAGGTATTTAATTTACACGTCATTAGCGGAGTAATTTGTTAGTTGAACGATGTACATACCCCTTTAGAAGCTATATAGTCCATGCCCCGAGCGACACAATAAGCAAAAACTGTGAGGTCTCGAGAGGCGAGTGCACCGCCGCCGCCGAAGCGATCGGGCCGTGACCGCCGGGCGCGAAGGTAGGTCAGTAATTTGCCGCACATTACATACTCCATTATGAGAAGATAGGGCTCTGAAACAAAAATATAAAAATAATCAGTATTAACGAAAATCCGTTAACGTTTAGTAGCGGTGTTAGAACATCCACTACCCGTATCATCCCGTGGGTGTTTTAAGAGGCATCCGAGGGGAAAAAATCAATTGGACAACAGCGGCTTCCTAATAATGACCAAATATAAAAAACTGCAGTCACGAACCCTTTTGCCAAGCGTGGCAACTATGTATAATTTAAAATATAAAATTTTGTACAATCGACTTCAATATAAATTATTAAGAATAACTCAAAAACTATTGATCAGACCTTGATCACATATATGGGACCACATGAGAAGCACCAGCTTTCAAATAAAAAAAATATCATCGAAATCGGATCACCCAGAAAAAAGTTATGAGGTAACACACATTAAAAAAAACATACAGTCGAATTGAGTACCGGCTTCTTTTTGAAGTCTGTAGAAAATATGCCCCTTATGCGGTAGTCTATTGAGGAGACCTATGTTCAGCTGTTGATAATGATTAATTTTAAAGTTGTTTGCCATTTTACTATTTTCTAATTATGTTCTCGATTTCTTTATAACAACAATTAAATAAATTTAATACATTTCATGTAAGAGTTGTTCCAATCAGGCATCGTTGTTTTAAGCCGATAAAAGGTCAAGTTTACATTACAGTTGCAAATTGCTTACTTTTTATGTGAAAATACCGTAGTATGTTTTTCATGCAGAAAATATGTAACTTAGATGTAATCCAATCATTTATTATTCATTGCACAACGTTTCAAAATTCTAATGCTGGACAAAGGTTTAGCATATTAGATATTAATCTACCATAGATTGACTTATAGGGGGTTATTTGCCATTGTGTCTATGGGTTACAGCAACCACTTACCAGGTGAACTGTGTGCTCATTTATCGCCCTTATTCTATTAAAAAATAGACCCTATCCTATAAAAAAGGGAAGAATCAACAGCCAATGTGGAAGATAGGTTCTCAAGTGGCAGCTTCGTACTGTTAAGCGAAGTGTAAGGCGCCCACCCACTAGATGAAACAATAGATGGGCAGCAGCATCTTCCTGCTTACCACCATCATCATCATTACAGCCCTTCATATGTCCACTGCCGAACATAGGTCCCAAGGAATACTATAAAGCACGGTCCTGAGCCACCTGCATCTGTTGACTGTTACATTACTTTTAATTTACTTTCTAAGATTTAATTTGTTATCATCATCATCATCATTACAGCCCTTCACAAGTCCACTGCTGAACATAGGCCTCCCCCAAAGAATGCCACAAAGCACGGTCCCGAGCCACCTGCATCCATCGACTTCCTGCAAATCTTACCAGGTCGTCACTCCATCTAGTGGGGGGACGCCCTACACTTCGCCTGCCGGTACGAGGCTGCCACTCGAGAACCTTTCTTCCCCATCGGTTGTCGGTTCTTCGAGCTATATGGCCGGCCCATTGCCACTTCAGCTTACTAATCCGTTGGGCTATGTCGGTCACTCTGGTTCTACTGCGGATATCCTCATTTCTGAGTTTATCACGCAGAGAAACTCCGAGCATAGCCCTCTCCATAGCTCGCTGAGCGACCTTGAGCTTCCTCATCCGGCCAGCAGTGAAGGACCACGTCTCAGTTCCGTATGTCATCACTGGCAACACGCACTGGGTGTACAGTCTCGTTTTCAAGTTTTGAGGTATACCTGACGAGAAGATGTGCCGTAATTTCCCGAACGCTGCCCAACCGAGTTGAATCCGTCGATTGACCTCTCGGTCGAAGTTGGACTTACCTAATCGGACTATTTGTCCCAAGTAAACATACTCATCAACAACTTAGAGCTTAGTGCTCCCAACAACTACCGGCATAGGTGTGACATGGACATTAAACATGATCTTTGTTTTGTCCATGTTCATCTTAAGACCTATCCGTTGGGAAACACTATTGAGGTCATTGAGCATAATGCTTAGGTCCTCCAGCGATTCTGCCATAAGGACTATATCGTCGGCAAATCGAAGGTGAGTGATGTACTCGCCATTGATGTTGATACCGTATCCTTTCCAGTCCAGAAGCTTGAAAACATCTTCCAATGCAGCGGTAAAGAGTTTCGGGGATATGACGTCACCCTGTCTTACACCTCTCTGCAATTGGATAGGTTTCGTACTCTGGTTCTGTACTCGGATAGCCATCGTAGCCCTACTGTACAAGCACTTCAACACTTCGATATACCGACAGTCAACTTGGCATCGCTGAAGGGACTGCAGCACCGCCCAAATTTCGACGGAATCAAAGGCTTTCTCATAGTCCACATACGCCAGACATAGTGGCAAATTGTACTCCTCGAACTTCTGTACAATTTGCCGAAGGGTATGTATGTGGTCTATGGTGCTAAAGCCTTTTCGGAAACCGGCTTGTTCGGGAGGCTGGAAGTCGTCAAGTCTGCGCGCGAGACGATTCGTAATGACTCTCGAAAACAGCACGTAGACGCGGCTCAGAAGGGAAATCGGTCTGTAGTTCTTCAAGAGAGCGTTGTCGCCTTTCTTGAAGAACAAGACCACCGCACTTCTGCTCCACGCCTCCGGTGTAATGCCACCATGGAGGACGGAATTAAAGAGCTTCTGAAGGACTTCAAGTACCGGTTTTCCACCCGCTTTCAGAAGCTCCGCTGTAATTCCATCCTCGCCTGGGGCCTTGCCGTTTTTAAGGTGCTGGAGAGCCATTCTAATCTCGCTCAGACTGACGTCCGGGATATCATCGGAATAATGTCGGATAAGACTCGCTCTTGGATCGTTACTCACACTTGCGTGCGGCTCCAACGATGACGTGTACAGCTGCCCATAGAACCTCTCAATCTCACTCAAAATCTCAGGTGCCCCGGAAACGATGCTGCCACATTCGGTCTTCAGCTTTGACAGTTGGCTCTTTCTGGCAGACAGATCTCTGGCAAAGACTTTGGAGCCTTGGTTCCGCTCGATCGCTTCTTCAATACGAGCTGTATTGAAGTTGCGTAAGTCCCGCCGCATGCATTTGGAGATCTGTCTGTTCAGTTGCCTGTATGCTGTCAAATCTGTTGAAGAATGTAGCTTCATCTCCCGTCTAACAGCCATGAGATTAAGAGTGTGATCGGAGAGTTTTTGTGTTCTTCTGCGGCGGGTCTTGCAGAACTTAGCTCCTACCGCATGGACAGTTTCCACGAGCTTGTCATTCAAATCGTCCACTTCATTGCAGTCTTCTAGGCACTGAAAACGGTTTTGCAACTCGAGCTGAAAGGTTTCGGGACTTTGGATTAGAGCACGAGGGGGACGGAGCGTTGACTTCATTAGACGAGACCTCTCCAACTTAACGTTTAGGTTCAGTGTGCCTCTAACCATTCGGTGATCGCTGCCGGTTTTCACCCTCGCGATCACTGAGACATCACTGAACAGTTGTCGCCTGGTCGTCATAATGAAGTCAATCTCATTTTTTGTCGAACCGTCGGGGCTCGACCAGGTCCACTTCCTGTGGGGCCGCTTCTGGAAGAAAGAGTTCATCATAAAGAGTCCCTCTTTCTCCATGAAGTCGGCCAACTGCTGGCCCCTTGGGTTCCGTTGCCCTATTCCAAATTTCCCCACTTTCAGCTCACCGTTCTCTCTTGTGCCTAGTTTTGCATTGAAGTCTCCCATTAACACAGTATATTGGGTTTTGGAGGAATGCATGGCTCTAGAGATATCCTCATACATTTCCTCCACCTCCTGATCGGGGTGTGCCGAGGTTGGTGCGTAAACCTGTATGACCTTCAGCGAATACCGTTTGGTGATTCTGAGTATAAGGTACGCAACCCTCGTCGACACACTCTCAATCTTTACAACGTTGTTAACGAGAGACTTGTGGACGATAAATCCGACACCTCCTTGGGACAGATGGTCGCCCTCCCGGTAATAGAGCAAGTTGCCGGATTCAAGGATTACCGTGTCCTCCCCCTCTCTTCGGACTTCGGATAATCCTATAATATGCCAGCGTAACTTGTCTATCTCTTCTTCCAGCTCCACAATCTTCTCGTCAGTCCTCAGGGTGCGTGCGTTGTATGTTGCCAGGTCGAGTCGTTGTAGGTGGCAACCGAACCTCCACCGGAGATTCTTAGCACCCCCTGCCCCGCCGTTACCATGGTCGCCACCGTAGCCAGGAATAGCGGGGCCGCCGGGGACTGGGGGCCGTCTCTTCGTAACCTTCATTATGGGTGTATATTGCCATAGTTGCCACGCTTGGCGAGCGGGTTGGCAACCGCAGTTTTTTATTGTATTTTGTCGTTACCAGGAAGATGCTGCTGCCCATCTCCTGCCTGTTTCCCTTTGTCGCCTTTTACGACACCCACGGGAAGATATGGGGTAGTGGATATTCTTAACCGCCACTACACGGCGTTAATTTAATTTGTTAGTGCATTGTAAAAAAGAAGAATACATTCGGAAGGATTTTCGTTACCGTTACAGCCTATTAAGATCACGGCAGTCAGCTTGTTTTTATAGAATAAGGGTGACCAACGAGCACACAGTCCACCTAATGGTAAGTGGTTGCTGTGGCCCATAGACATCTACATCTATCTTCGTTTGCGTATTAAATTGCAGATGCGTTGTTAGGCGTGAGGACTAAGATAGAATGCCTCTTTTCCATTAAAATGGGTCTCCGGTTCTCTACAATCACCATACGAAACACAGCGGCATTAGGTTGCTATTTTACGCTGGTATTCTGTGAGAGCGGGGTTCTTCTTCAGCCGACCCATTCGTGCTACAACTATACTATTAATATAGCTGCAGTATGGCTCTTAACGAAGACTAGCCAACGAATACTACAGGATTGTAGTGACCAAGTGCTTGCGCAAACACAAGTGCACTCTTTATTCCCTCACTCTCATAGTCCGATGGGACAGTAAACAGACACAACCGGAGAGAGATCAGGCGTTGGACTTTACGTACTGCTACTGACAATTTCTAGACCGAAAAGCTCGATAACTTATTTTTCTTTGCCCGTCGCGGGATTCGAACCCAGTTATATGATCAACTGTCGCGTGTGCAACCTCTAAACCAACGAGGCAATCAAAATAGGATAGTTTCCGCATATTCGTGTGTACATACACCGCGCCATTGTTAGATGATTTTTTCATCGAACCTCCTTTCTTAAGTTACGTAATAAGATAAAAATAGCCTATAAATTGCATCGTAAAAAAAATTTCCATGAAATTTTTTTTACGATGACGTACAGACAGAGAGACTCAAGAAATTTTATAAAGCAGTAATTTGGCTTATTTTATCCCAGTTTTATTCCCAGGAAATATTAGAATAATAGACACGACCTTTCTACAGATTTATTATATGTATAGATTCGTATAACTAACCTTGTTCTGTACAACAAGCGAGCAGCGTCACAACGTTGGGGTGTGTTCCAATCTTTTGCATAATGTAGATCTCATGCAACAACTCTTGCTTCTCTTTTTGAGATGCTGACTCCTTAATCGTCTTCACCGCCACCAATCGCGTTAACCCATCATGACCATTTAGATCATCAGCTTCAGCTTTCCATACCTAATAAAAACACGTTTAAAGTTAAAGTTACAGCCTATATACGTCCCACGGCTGAGCACAGGTCTCCTCTCGTTTCTTTTCTTTTTCTCAAGCGGGTTTTAGGGCAAGGAAGTGTTGGCCGCGCTACCCCAATGCGTACTGGCGAACTTCACAGGTCTTCGAAATAATTTTTTTCTTATTTCTTAGACATGAAGGTTTCCTCACGATGTTTTCCTTCACCACCGAGCACGTGATTCATCAGCACTTAAAATTGTAATTAACAATTTCACTGGTGCCGACGGGGATCGAACCCGGGTTGCTCGCGTACTGTGAAATTTACAGCGAGCGCTAACCATCTGAACTACCACGGCTGTCTAAACACATGTTTAATTGTATACATAAATCTTTCGCGATTTCCTGCTGAATCGTAGAGGCAGTTTACAAACATCAAATGCTTAAGGTCGAACATCCAAACCTGTAAAAATTATTTACAGACAAGAAAAATACTTTTCCTGTTCGGGATTCGAACCCAAGGCCCCAGTGCTGCAACCAAACGCTAAGCTAATGCGCCACGGAGCCGTCAAGAGCCCATTTACTATTTTTGTGTTTTATAGAAATCTGATTATGATGTTCTGTTATAAAATTGTACAATGACTGTATGTATTTACTTGAATGCGCTGTAAGCAAACGCCATACTCGTATATTAGTTATTATCGTGTTGATATCATTACAGCGAGCGTTTGGCTGTGCATGAGGGGGTGTTGGTTCCGACACTCATGTATGGAAGTGAAAGTTGGGTATAGCAGAAGAAACATGAAAGCAGAATAAATGCAGTTGAGATGAGAGCGTTAAGAAGTATGATAGGAGTTAAACTGAGTGACAGGATAAGAAATAGAATATGAGATAAGGAAACGTTGTGGTCTGAAAGAAGATGTAGTGACAAAAATTGAGAGAGGTATGCTGAGATGGTTTGGCCATGTCGAGAAAATGAATGAAGAACGATTGACGAAAAAAATGTATAAGGCGAGTGTGAATGAAAGTGTTAGGAGGGGTAGACCTAGGCGGACGTTTCTGGACCAAATCAGGGACGTCTTTAAAAAAGGCCAGGTCAAGAGTACCGTAAACCGTAGAGCATATATGAAGGGAATAATGAAAGTGGACGAAGCGAAACAAGTATGTAAGGACCGTAGCAAGTGGAAATAAGTGGTCTCTGCTTACCCGTACGGGAAAGTGGCGTGATTATATGTATGTATGTATGTATATCATTAACATAAAATGTAGCCTATAACACTCCAGAAACTATAGACGGTCATAAAAGAACAGACCAACAAACGTATTAATGTAGTAAAAAGTAGAAAATAACTCACCTGTCCAAAGTTACCCTCGCCCAGCAATGTTTGCAATCTAAGTTTATTTCTCGGGAACTCCCACTTTTGGTCCGGTTTACTTGGGGGAGGAATAGGCGGACGTGCTACTGGTGTTATCGGTGATTCTTTCTTGATTTCACCGTCGTCAAAGTACCCTTCATATTCTGTGTCAATTTCCTTGGTCTTTTTATTTAAAAAGTTTCGCAAGAAGAACGCAATGACTGCTCCTACAGGAAGAAATCCAAGACCAGCCAAAACATACGAAGCTGTGTAAGTTTTTTCAGCTTCTATCACGACTTCTTCGTTTTGAGCCACGTTATCTGTATTTTTTCCTCTCGTTATATTGACCACAGTCGTATTATTTTCTATTTTGGACATGTTTTTTGAAATGAAATCAGACGCGGCTCCGGGTACCAATGATGTTTTTGAAGTATCAATTGATGATACGGTTGCTATGACTACTCCTTGCGTAGATGTTGAAACTGGTGATACAGTTGTTGTTGGTATTGAAATCGTAGGAATAAGTATGTTTTCATTTGTTGTTACCGTTGGCAACTTTGTAGTAGTTGTAGTGGTAGTTGTCGGTCTTCGCCTTCTTAAAATATTTTTCGGTTTGGCTGTGCTTACATAAGAATTATCATAATCTTTCTTAGGGTATAAGCTCGCTAATTGCTCAGACAACGTCGACGACGTTGTTTCTTGCGTGTCTGGGATTTTTGTTTTAAATTCACCAATTAATGGATTAGGCTTTAGTGTTACAGCCGGGAGAGTTTGAACGGAATTTGAATTGACACTACTCTCAGTCGTTGTAGTTCGTATCCTAATTCTATGTCTGTATGGTCTAACTGTCGTAGGTGGAATAGTAGAGGTTTCATTATCATTAATCAAGACAGCTTTCGGTACGGTAGCATTAATATTATCATTTACAATGTCAGCAATTGTGTCATTTTCCGATCCCTTCATGGTGTCAGTTTTATTTTGTCCTTTCATAGACGATGTTATGGACACAGATGTAACAACTGCTGTATAGACAGAGGTAGAAGTCTTTTCTGTAGTAGCGTTTATTGTTGTCGTTGCTACACTTTCAGTGCTTGATGCAGATGCTTTCGAAGGACGCCTCCTTAAATTAAAATAGCTTCTAGTAAAGTTTTTGGGTGTTGAAACAGTAGTCGTTCTATTAGACAAAGCTTCTTTTGTAATGTTTGCATTATTTTTTACACTTTCCTTGAGCGTGTCATTGTAGGTAGTCGTATTGCCAAAAGAACTAGGGGTCACGTTTTGTACTACTGGTTCAGTAACGTTTAATTCTGCTATATTAGGTGATTTTGGTGTTGTTTGTGTAGTACTGGAGTATTTTCGATACGCATTAACTAAGCCAACAGATCGAGCTGGTGCAGGGCCTTTAACAGTATTTCTAATTTTATTTTTTTCTATTATATTTTTCACAACTGAAACGTCCATATCTTCATTAATTTCGTCTTCTCCTGCATTTGTGCTTTTATATTTTTCAGTTGCTGAATACCTTGAATTAAATTTTCGCTTTTCAGGAGGTGCTACTATAAAATTAACTGATTTAGTTGATGCTGAAAATGATGGAGAATTCGTTAGGTTATCGCTAATAATTGGGCCACCTAATTTCTGTCCAAAAAATATAAAAGGAGCCATTTCATCATCAGGCAGTTCTGTTTCAAGCGGTCGAAAATGATTATAAATCTCATCTGACATAAATAAAGTTTGATTTCCTTTATCACTTTCGTTTTTAATATTAATATTACTATGGATATCTGTGCTATTAGCAATTGTGTTTGCTTCTGGCTTTTCGTCTTTAAAGTGTACGTTTACATCAAGTGTAACGTTACTAATTAGTACTTCTGGTGTAGTAGACTCACTGAAAGGTGTTGTATTATATTTTTCTTTAATATCATTAGACGTCTTTATTTCAGTTACAGTAAGTAGGTTCTGTGTTACATTTTCTACGTCCGAATAATTAAGCAGGTACAATCCATGATTGGATTCATCTACCTGAAATTCTTCATCTGGATCTAAATCAACTTCTTTTTCTGAACCCTCTAATTTATCTGGTGGAACATAAACTACTCCGCTTTCTGTCGTAGAAATAGTATTAATAACTGTTTTATTGATATTAAATAAGTCCTTTTTCCTATTGTTTATGAATCCAGCCCTATTTTTATTATCCTGGTATATTCTCGGGATGAATAAATGCCTAATCTCGTGTGGTTTAACATCTTGTCGTATTTCCTTTGCGCCGTCAGAAGCTACTAATCTTAATGTTGGGGATAATTCATTACTGGAATTGTCAAACGTTATTCGCTTCACAATGGAACTGTTTGAATCACGAATTTCAAGCTGTGCAAATGTTGTATTTCCCCTGAAATGAAAAAAGTTAGACCATAAATTTTAATGTGAATAGCTTGTAAGCACTTTATTACAAAACGATACATAAATAATAATAAAATAAATGAGATTTTTTTATTAATGACTACGTCATATTGAATTAAAATAATAAAAATTCACCGACTGACCCACTTCACAATTATTCTTTCAGTACCACAGATAACCTTTACAAGTGTACCGATGTTGAAAAATTCATATTTCTAAACAACTTATTAATTTAGAGTCATCTGCAACATCTTTTGTATTAAAGTTTCATAGATATTATATTTATTAATCAGTAAGTAAGTGAATACTAACTTGTGTGGTTTATGTGCTAACGTAGCTAGTGTATTGATATGTGTTGTCAGCCTTCCAGTTAGTAGCTGTCGCCGTCTGGCGGCGAGCAGTGACAACAGTTGTGAGTCCCTTGTTGTGTTAGCATTACTTTGCGTTGTCGTTTTTCTTACGCTGCCTGTAACAGAGAAAATTATTTTTTATTATTATAGATGTATACAAAATGCAATTATTGGCACTAAGCATGGCTATCATATTCGACAGTGAACGACAATGCACGTAATTCGTATTTTTTAATGAAAGTGTAGATGTAAATATTTTGACTCCTCCTTTACACACAACTTAGCTTACTCGAGTTAAAATAGGTTACTTGTTATTTTTACTGTTATGAATGGATTTTCAATATTCATTTTATTGGTTTTCACAAAAGTTAGATTTTTATACATAGATAGAACACATACAAAAGTTGAACAAGAATCTGAAAAGGCAGGATTATAATATATGAATATCTTCTTTATCATCAGCCACTAAAATACACTAAAAGGCGTGGCCATATCCCGTTGTAATAAATATTTACTACAATCATCACACTTGGCAGTCAGATTTACCGTATCAGACGTCACGTTGCTTCCCGTATTAGATCTGAGTATTTTACATTTTTTTTTTATAGGATAGGGTGACAAACGAGCACACAGTCCACCTGATGGTAAGTGGTTGCTGTAGCCCATAGACATCTACATCTATCCTCGTTTGCGAATCAAAATGCAGATGCGTTGTCACCCGTGAGGACTAAGATGGAATGCCTCTTTTCCAGTATAAAGGGTCTCCGGTTCTCTACACTCACCATACGAAACAGCAGCGTTGAGCTGCTATTAAACGCTGGTATTCTGTGAGAGCGTGGTCCTTCCCCGGTCGAGCCGATTCATTCGTGCTACAAATATACTACTAATATAGCTGCAGCGTGGCTCTACCACGTAAAAAATGATTATGGTGAAAACGACGTAACTTTTGCCATAGTCGCATTTTGCGATATCCATGAGATTAAGTAGCGTAATGGTTCCATTAACGGCAATTATAATGTCTATTTAGTAACAAATCATTAAGAGTTGCCACCGCCCGTCCATTAGCGACAGATTGCATGACAATGTAAATAATTGTACATAATCAAGAACCGTCGCGACCATCCTTCATCCTTCACCCACAAATTGAGCTACCGAACAGACAATAGATTTGAAGCACGATATCATTCCTATGGCAGAGGTCGGCCTTGACACGTTGCGCTGTGAAAGTTAGATGAGACCAACGTAATACAATCCATGATTTGTATTTAATGCGTTGCCTAGTTTAAAGTTTTATTTTGAATATAATAGAAAGAAAGAAATAATATAATAATTTAACTGAATTGCGAATTTTATATTTCTTAATGTTACAGTTACTACAACCTTTGTATAAAAGATTATAAATTATTATTAATTTGATGTCAATACGTGACATTATAAAATAATTAGCAACATATTATTACATTTAGCTAGACCATGTATTAGCAGCTCTAATAACTATTTGAAGTTTCGATTTTTATTCATGAGGATAAACAACATAAACGAATATAATATCGGTATTGATCAAGACATTCTACATACCTCGAATACGTCGCATTGTGTATGTTGTGCAGAATAATGGTTAGAATAGAATAGAATATTTTTTATTCAATATACATTACATGTGTGATTCTTATTGAAAGTCATTTTTTACTTTACCACTGGTCGAAAAAAAACCCTCTGTCCTGGGAAGAACCAGCAAGAAACCCAGCGGGACTTTTTTTTTGAAAATAAATTTTACAATATAAATGATTACAAACTATTTACAAAATTTATTTTAGAAACTGCTTGGAAGCGACCACCTCATTCCCAGGGGTTATTATCAACCATGTATTCATTTATACTATAATAACCCTTTTTATATAGTTTCAGCTTAATAAAACATTTAAACTTGGTAATAGAGAGAACCTGAACCACCATTTTTCTTGGAATCACACTAGACGCGAAGCTTCAATGGAGCCCCCATATATCAAAACTAGCAAGCAGACTTAGTTCTGCAGCATATGCTGTAAAAAAGATTAGAAGTTTAACCAGTGTTGAAACAGCTAGACTAGTTTACTTCAGCTACTTCCATAGCATAATGTCGTATGGTATTTTGCTATGGGGACACGCAGCTGACACTGAAATTATATTTGTTTTGCAGAAGAGGGCCATAAGAGCAATTTATGATTTAAAGCCTAAAGAGTCGCTGCGACAAAAATTTAAGGAAATTAATATATTAACTTTGGCCTCTCAATACATTTATGAAAATGTAATGTACGTACACAAAAATAAAAGTAGTTTTACAAAAATAAGTGACATTCATTCTGTAAATACTAGGAACAGACACAAGCTAGTAGTACCAGTTACTCGACTCCATCGAGTCAGTAATTCATTCTTGGGGCGATGTATACGCTTTTACAACAAAATTCCAGAAAATATACAAAGTTTGACCTGTTCAAAGTTCAAAAACTTTATTAAACTAAGTTTGTATAAAAAGGGTTATTATAATATTAAGGAATTTATGGATGATAATAACCCCTGGAAATGAGGTGATCGCTACCAAGCTATTTCTAATTTGTTGTGTTGTTAATTTGTGTAACATCATGATTGTAAGCTGTTATTTAAAAAAAAAGTCCTGCTGGGTTTCTTGCTGGTTCTTCCCAGGACAGAGGTTTTTTCCGAACCAGTGGTAATCAAACAAAAGAGTGACTTTCAATAAGTATTATTTATAATCTATATTGAATAAAAAAGTTTCTGTTTCTGTTCTGTTTCTGTTTCTGTTTCTGTACACTTTCCGGGACCTTATTGTAATAGCGTATACATTGCCCCAAGAATGAATTACTCACTCTGTGGAGTCGAGAAACTGGCATCACTAGCTTGTGTTTGTTCCTAGTGTTTACAGAATGTATATCACTTTTTTTACTAAAACTATCTTTGTTTTTGTGAACATACATTAAATTTTCGTAAATATACTGAGAGGCAAAAGTTAATATATTAATTTCTTTAAATTTATCTCTAAGAGACTCTCTCGGTTTTAGATTGTAAATAGCTCTAATGGCCCTCTTCTGTAAAATAAAAATAGTTTCTGAATCAGCCGCATTTCCTCATAGCAAAATCCCATAAGACATTATGCTATGGAAATAACTAGAATAAACTAATCTAGCTGTCTCGACACTAGTGAGACCTCTTATCTTTTTTACAGCATAGGCTGCAGAACTTAGTCTGCTTGCTAATTTGGATATATGGGGGCCCCACTGGAGCTTTGCGTCAAGAGTAATGCCAAGAAAAACAGTGGATACAACAGGGCTCAATTCCTCCCCATTTAAAAACACATTGGTATTCAGATTTTTAGCATTCGTTGTTGTAAACTTAACACAATTAGTTTTATTTCCGTTCAAATGCAGATTATTAACGTTAAACCAATGCACTAATTTTGATATAGCATTATTCACTTTGTCACATTTAAATGATTGACGTTTAAGTTTAAAAATCAAGGAAGTATCATCAGCAAATAATACTATATCATGACTATTCCCTACAAGGTGAGGTAAGTCATTAATATACACCAGAAACAGGAATGGGCCGAGAATCGAGCCCTGAGGAACACCCATTAGTACAGGTGAACGATTGATTTAAGGTTGGTATACAAAAAAAAAGATTAAGAAAAGGACCGCGCTTTTACAGAATACCAGCGTAAACAAAAGTAGTAAATAGGTACTGCTGTTTCGTTAATTCTCTCTAGTTTTATTGATTTATTATTCCTAATTTTTTTATAGTTTACTACTACTAATATAAACTAACCCTGGCCTGGTTTATTGCGACATCTTAAAATGGTATCTTGATAATATCATTCTTATCCATTCGGTGGCGACATAAAATCTAAATCATCACCAAACCTCTCACCACATGTTAATAATGTCCTCCAGACTAAATCCGACTCAAGGGCTACTAATCACCTGCGCAGGACAGGATGATAGTGCTCAATTGTATGAGCAAGCACATGTGCATTCTCTATTCCCTCACTCTCATAGTCCGATGGGACAATAATCAGATACAACTGGTGTCAACAATAATCAGACACAGTACCAGGGGTGAAGTACCGCCAAATTCCTGACTCTGGGTACCTACTGAGACTTTTTTGACAGAAAAACTGAATAACTGTTTTTTATACCTGACCCGGGATTCGAGCCAAAGCATTTACGACAACTAAAACCCCACAAAATTTTTAAGAGGAAATATAGGAAATGGCATATCTCATTTTCTCCTATAGACTCTCGTAGAAATTTCCAGTGCGATGACTCAACACACATGCGAGATATCTCGTACTACGACCGTAGAACCGCCTGCACACCGTGGCGATTACGACACATACTTATTTGTGTATGTGTATTGTCGCCTTGACTCATTTATCCGCTATTAATTAATAAAAAGTTTAAACTCAATCGATATAGTTAAATAACTCACCCACCCACTTCGATGCGCGTCACCAACAATTAAAACTAGGGAGGTGCGTGTGGGCAAAATTCTGTTTCACCGCATACCGTGCTAACTAGATTTCTTTACAGAAATAATTTTCTCATCTCTAGACATTAAACGCTATTCTTATGATTGTTTTTTGTGGATTTTCTTTTTTACCCGACTCGTCTTTTTCAAAAGAGATAACATAAGAAATACCTCTTATATATGACAGAATAAGACCGGAGACAAGGCAGAGTAAAAGATAAATAGTAAAAAAAATTGTTTCTTCTTTGATTAGGACAACTAAATTTTCAATCGGTAGAACATTTAAATAAACATATGAATAGATAGAAAATTATTTATTTAAATAATTTTCAAATTTCTTTTATAAAAAGGCGAACTAATTGCCTTAATAGCATTCCCTGCTAGGTAACCTTTGGCAGTCTGGTGAGAGTTGTGAGTTTGGATGTCTTCATGTCCCATTTTTCTCTATAAAATTGAAGTAGCAAACGAACTTACAGTTCATCTGTTGCTAAGCAGCCCATGGACACCTTCAAACAATAAAGGAGATGGAGTGTCTCACAGTGTGTAATATACTGGCTCTCTACAGCTCTATACCCTTCACACCGGACTACAAATA